CGATACACATACCTGCCTCGAACCGCTTGCCCTTTTGAGGATTTGTGCTAGTTTAGGCATTTTTTAAGTCCCAAACCCAACTTTTCATCTTAGCTTCTTCTTTATCTTACTTGTGTACAGTTTCTTGGAAAAGTTTTTTACCGTCTTTTCTTGCTCAAAGAAGAATAATAGCGAAAACATTTTGCAAAACAGCGAGTCTCTCGTAGCGAAGACACACGATGGCAACTGTTGTGAAGATTTCTTGTAGTTTAGGCATTGTCAAGTAGTCAATAGCTTTTTTGGTCTCCGTTTCTCCATTTTTCTTCTTTGTAAATAGCTCCTGCTAAACTTTTTCCGAAGCTTTCACTTGCCTCAATCCGAAATAATCTCACAAACATTTTCAAAACCGCGTGCCATGTTGAACAAAACAAAGAAAACAAGTTTCCCGTGACGTCATCCATGTATCTGTACTCTAATAGATCATGGGCAACGACCAATCACAGCGCGCCTAGCATTCACATCATTGTATAAACACATATGGCCTGCAATTTTCCTTGCATCTGTTTTTTTTTAAGTATCTTTCATTTTCAAATAGAGTTTTCAGTCGCTAAGATTTTCAAATCTTAAATCGACCCTCGTTGCGCTAACCGTCTTTAGGAGTCGCAGCTTAGGGACACTGGAGAAAACGAGAAATCTCGTCGGGGTTGTATTTTTGCTAAAATATATCATAACAGTTTCTAAATACTTAATTAACCAGGGCGTTTGAACTAACATAGATAGTCTTTTTTTTCCAGTCATTTTACTACAAGGACGATGAATGGGTATTTGTGTGCAGCTTTTCCGCACCTGTTGCAGCTCGGTATGTGCAGTTCGTCTGCAATGCAGAGGGAAACATCACATGCTTGCAAAGAATATCAGTTAATGGCTGTCCAATAGGTATGCCTGTACATTATTGTGTAGATTCTGACAAAAAATGTGGTACTTTGACTTGCAATCACAGCTGAAAGGGCAAGGTACTATTCTAACTAGGGTATCTAAAAGATAGTAATGCTGTGGCACATTCTGTTGATACTGGCATTAGTTAGGCAGTGAGACTTAAAAGAATCAAAAATGACATTGAATGTCCTATTTACATGTTGGAAAGTACTAGAATAATTACTATCAGTCTATAGAAAGAACTCGTGGGAACGTTGTTTAGAAAATGATCAAGTGGTTATCAACACTGGTTTTCCCACAGTAAATTGTAGGAAATAATAGAAATTCAGATTGTTTATCCATATATTTAATATACGGTGCACAATATTTTCTCTGGAAACACAATACTTTTCTTGCTGTTTGTTGCACTTTATTAAGTAACAGTTATTTAGCTATATATTTATAGAAAACAACAACACAAAAAACGGGAAAAAAAAGAAATGAAAGAATTTATAACTAAGTAGGATCCGAACCCGGCACCTTCGGCTCGACGCGACTACACATAACCACTACACCACAGAGACTGATTACGTAGGCTGTAGGAAAAGTCTTTCATTTTATTCTTTTTCCATGAAACTTCCGTCGGCAAGATGATCGCCAGCCGCATTAACCGAGCTATTAACAGTGAAAAAAACAATGTAAAAGCATATTCCATGGCAATAAATGAATGAAAGAACATAATTATGCTTTTCAAAACGCCGATACACGTCCTCGTCTGCAAAGTAGGACACAAAACATATGTTTTGTTATCTCGATTTCCGCTGTTATTTTGAAGCGAATGGTCAAAATCACATCCAGTTTCTACTCATACAGTTTCTTAAGAATAGCATTGCAGGACATTTTCTCGCTTTCACATCACCTTCTAGCAAGCTGGAATTTGTATATCCCCCGTGTTGCGGAGTCGAAGAGCAAAAAAGGCTCTTGAGTCAAAAAAGGCTCTTGAATTGAAATCCAATCCCCAAGTTAACCATCGTACTCATCTGAAAGACTCATGCGTGTCTTAAAATTTGGTAAGACCTCTAACCGTGCTGTAGAAAATTTGACACAAAGAAAACTCCAAGTCTGAGCAGCGAACGATGCACTCCGATCTCTCACCCACCGAACTTCCCCATGTTTTTATTTGAGTTGTTCGTGGTGCAATGCACTCTGGTTAAATGCAATGCATTGTGGTAAAAAGTGATGAATTCGAGAATTCGTCGCCCCTTATATATTTCCTTTAAATCCTGATTTTGTTGCTGCTCGCTCCATTCGGTCGCTCCGCAGCAATAAGCCTGAAATTTGGCTTTTTTGTTGGCTATAAGCCACCAACTATCTGCTTACTTAATGTTGCGCATGCTTGTTTAGTGCTTCATTTGTTCTACCAAATAGACGACTCCTGCAAATTGTCCAAGCCCTGATGCGAATTCTTAACAACTAATTATTAACTAATTATTGAGCTGAATCGATTACGGCTGAACTAATTTGTTCATTAATTTATTCACTTCCTCAATTAATTCATTGAATTTATTTTTAATATTTAAGAGGGATCTTGGTGCGAAGAGCAATCATTCATACAAAGACTGAAGAGTATGAAATCAGACGAAACTTTTTCCACAGTAATCTAGGAAAGGCTCTACTCAAGGCCACCTTGGCTTCAATTGTTACTCTAATTGTGATGCTTCTTGTTGGAAGATACAACTTGGACGGAAGGTTAGTTAATCGTGGCAGGGCTAGCTCAGTCGGTAGAGCGCTTGATTGCAGAGTGGGAAGTCGCGGGCTTAAGACCACGTAAAATGGCGGTCCCTTCTCCATGCAGTAGGAGACGTAAAGGAGAGTCCTCACTTAGCACTTTTGACACTCAAATAAAGTGCATAACTATATTGGTATAAAGACTACTATCCTTCCAAGAACCTTTAAGCATTTACTCTTGAAATCGAATACACGTGACATTTGTTTGCATTTTGGCCTTATTTTCACACTAAAACCATAAAAAAACGGAAGATCTGCTCCTAAATCTCTGGTCTTTTTGACTAAATGGCACGCATTCGGAGCATGTATCAAAAAATGTCTCCCTCTTGCTCAAGTCGACACTTAAAGTTTTTGGATTTCTTTAAATGGGGCGATTGTGAGTTGAATTGATATTACCTAAGTATGTGCCCGAGGGATGTTTCAAGTCTTTTGCTGTCTAGAGTGCTTCTCCATCCAGCTGTCCATCACTCGTTTCCACTGACTTAATAACGCTTATAGTTTTCCTTTTTTATTAATATCTTTTAACGCATTTAGTGTTTTAATGCTCCACTTCTGTTTCAGGCCGATCACAAATTTCTTAAGGCTGATGATGAGATTGAGACAAATTTCGACATGGAACAAACGATGAGAAAAGAAGAAGAAATATCTCGGGGAAGAACTACATCAAATATAACCCATTTGAAGAACATTAAAAGCCACGAGTAAATACTTAAGTGTATTCTTTCTGTTATTTTTTTAGTGTTTCTTGCAGTGACACGGGCAATTCGAAAAAAAAGCCGGATAGTTTTCAATGCATTAGTCGATCCTGTGGCCTTCTTGTCACTGGCCCAATTTTACAAGTTTAGTTAATTTATTAAACACGGTTCGTGCTCGGTTCATTGCGCATACTGAGATATCGATACCCTCCGTACCGCAATGGTATGTAAATTTCAAAATCATATTTAAAAAGGTGTTGGTTAAACACGGTTCGTGCTCGGTTTGTCTCTTCAGAATAAATTTGTCGCATACTGAGATATTACGATCACCCGTTTTACCACATCCGTCGCTTTGCCATGGTATGGTAAATTTAAAAAAGACAAAAAATATTTTTGAAAAAAGGTGTTGGGACGTTCTCAAGAGTCTCTGATATACCGCAACAGGCCGCGCGATCTTCACCGATCTGGTACACTTGAAATGTGTCTTGTATCTTTGCTTTACGATCGTATATGTTTAAGAATTGATGTTTTTAAAATAAATTATTGCCTGAATATGCTGTTTATAATCTAGTATCTTTATGTGTGCTACTCGATAACATTTGTTTTGCGGAAAACTGACCCGATGCAACGCGAATGAATTTGTTCATTTGCTGATAAGCAATTGAAATTTATGCTCAATTAAGGATAATCTTTATACTCATACGTTGTGTGTTTTTGTCACCGGTCAGGCGCTATTTGTAGGTATTTCTGGGTTTATATAAGGCGAACTGAGAGAACAGTAATAAGATGTTTGTTTACAAATTTTGTTTGCCGATCGGTGACTGTTTTGTTAGCGTGGGTACGACCTCGTAAAAATACACGTTGGTAAATGTTTGTTTCAAAGCAGGACAGGGCTGTAAATCTTATTCTTATCGGCTGCAACATATATCTGAGGAGTAGCAAAGAATAAACTTGAATTATGGGGATAAATAAAATCAAACCAAATGCCCGGAAATACTCTCGCGTCGCGAACAATTAATTTGAATTTTGTAAATTTACTTGCGTGCATCTAACTCGCTTCCGATTGGTTGAAAAACAATCAGCTACTGTCAGAACTCACACATGCGCATCATCGTGAACCAGTCCCTTTAATCTCACGGCTGGTGAATGTATGAGAATGGTATTTCTTCAGTCGAGAACTCCCCCAAGAATTTGGATTCTCCCCAAAGGGGTAGAATCTATTTTCTATGACTTCAAAGTGGTAGACTGCTTTTTTAAAGCGCTATTCATCCTCAAATCTCAACGCTTTTAGTGATTTATACGCCTCAGTCTCGAAGCCGAGTGTCAATTTCAAGAATTTGAAACTGACCAAACGGGAAACTGAGAACCCCACCACCACCTAGATTTACCATCTGACTGATCTAACCGCCTTCAGGGCTCAATTTAATAATTTAAAAACAAAAAAAAAAACTTTTACAAGTGTAATTTTCAGTTTTCCCTTTTGTTTTAGAGACTGAAAACAATAGCTACACTTGTAAATAACACTTGTAAAAGTTTTATTAAATTGACCCCAGGTCGTGAACACACGTGACAATTATACTTATTGTCGATATGCTTGTTAAAGTGGACGAAATCATCCTTTTTTGCTCTTTAATTTCAAGTTTATATCACATCACTAGTAAGTGTGGTACAAGTCATGCGATCTCTTTATGTTAAACACACATTAACAACACACAATATTTCATGCACTCTCAAAGGATTTCCCTAAGAGTGAACCCTTCTACAACAAATGAGGATTATAATTTACGTGCTGTTCCTCGCAAGATGCGCTATGAGTATTACATTGGCCAGTTAATTGTAAAACTGTGAGACTGGGGGTACGAATACCGCAAAACCACACAGAAATACCTATAAACACCGTTCAGAATAACATAACTGAAACCGCACATCATTGAAATTACCCGAAAATTTCTGAATACCGTAAACCGCTTGGTTTGGTAAAACCGCAATACCGCAACTTGAAATAAAAATTTCCGAAAAACCGCACCAAAAATCTAGCAAAACCCCATCACCGAAAACCCTTATGCCCCCCCTCAATGATGTCAAAATTGCAAAAATGTGTGGATTATGTCTGAATTCCGTTCGGCAACCACTTGGGAATAAAATAAGGATAGGTCAGATCTCCGCCATCCTTCCTTTTCCGGTTTAGACTCTGTAATTTAGGTTGGACATCTTGCATTAGCTTACTATAGTAACGATTAACAAGATTGACAGCGTCGGTATCCTCAAGGGAGTTGCCGTAGTCAAACAAGCGGTCGAGGCGGAATATTCCAAGCGTATTGAAAGCACTGGAATGGATCTGAAATTTCCAAACACAATAATTTAAACTTAGACTAACAATGTCATCATGGTCTGTTCTGGAATACACTAAACACAGAAGGTGATGCTCCAAAGAACGGACTGAGTATGAAATTCCAATCAATGCAAAACATCAAGTTGTCGGAGGAAAACTTTTATAGCACAGATTTTGATGACGAAGTTTCATTAATTACAACTACCGAGAAGTCACTAATAGCTATTGAGGTATGAAAACTATAACTTTGACACCTACATTTTTTTGCTCTTCATTTCTTTTTATAACTGCAGCAGGATTAGTTCAGTCGACCGAGCGGAGGTCGCTGGTTCGATTCCCCGGACCTTAAAGACTAAGGTACTCCCTTTGCATTGCAAGCGATTACACTGCTTCGCATAGCTGGGATGATCATGTAAGATAGCGGCCGCATCTCCAGTTGGAAACGTAAAAAATAGTGTCCCCAAATAGTACTTTCGCGTTAAATACATTGATGCTCAGATAGAATGCGTTTCTTGTCAAGGAAACTTTCGATGTTAAAATAAAGAAAATAACAATGTTACATAATAAGAATCCCACTTACCGCAGTTGTCAGCCTGTTTGGTAGGCGGTAAACCGAAAATTCTCCCACTTCTACCCTGGAGTCATTGTAAAGCTTGGTCGGTTGGTTTGGAATGTATTGTCCATAGTCAACTACTACGTAATTAACGGCAGCGTGGTATATCGTCACGTGGGAGAGAAAGCGACTTAGAATTTCGCAAAGCTCCCTCTTGGTACCGATGCTTTTAGGAAAACCTTGAATCTGTTTTAAATAATAACACAAGAACACAAGTGGATTTCTTAACTACTGCAGTCTGAAATGTCCTAATTGTCAGTAGTAGCAATTGTCTCTTGATTCAGTTGAATGACAGAAATACTCTGAAATCACCGAATTCTCTGAGAAGCACCAACACTGTTGTCTGCCCGAGACTGGATCTTTCCTAATGTTTTTGACTGAATTCTCTCTCTCCCTGTCCAAATTCTTTGCCTTAACACACTGTTTTCCCCCCAATTTCCCATATCCCTAGCCTGCGTCGTAGACGTTATCTGATTTCAGTTAGTAACGTCTGCGAAGCGGCGCCGATACCCTTGTCCCGGGCCCCAGCGGTTTCAACAAATTACCAGAAGTGCGTTTCGAATTTTCTTTCAACCTTATTTGTATTTCGACGATGCCTTTTTTAACAGGCCAATCATGGAACGTACTCAAGTCTTCAGGTAACACAGGTGAGGCCCCAGGGCAAAGATTTCGAATCTGTTTCGCAGACGGTTTTAAGCAGAGTTTAGTTTAAACGGTGGCGTAGGCTACCACATCTACTTTTAGCTTTCGCAGAACTGGCTGTACAACCAAGTTCCGATCAGGAGGAAGATTTTAGATTTTTAAGGGAAAGAACAAGCAAAGAAATAAATGTTTGTGATTCTGAAAAGTTGTGTTTCGCATGTTTCACTACCTTTGTTTAACGTTGGGAAACACAGTAATAGGTAAAATATACACAGGGACACCTGAAAAAATTCTTGTATAAGTAATGTAGACTGATGAACTGTTTTTCTCTGTGTCCGAGATTTTTCGTTACGAATGCTCTGTGCATGCTGTTTTGCAAAGCCCTCGAACAGAATGAAGAATGAAATATTTTCTTTCGATGTCTGAGCAAGTAATTATCATTGGTATGAAAATACGCTTTTTTTTTTTCATCTTATCTTGGAATATATCACCCAACGACCGAATGTTTTCAAATGCGTCAGAGGTGTCTAAAATGATTTTCTCTTCGCTTTAGAAGCCTTTTTGCGTTATTTGGAGCTGGTCAAAAAACTACTTATCCGTTTGGATGTCTTAGGGGAACTTTGGACAACGTCTGTAAAGTTTTAGCTAGGTTTTCCGTCTCATCCGAAACTGTTTCTACCCCGATGGCTCCAGACGAAATTTCGAGGACATGAAATAGCCGTATTTTCATTAGAAGTATAGAAATTCTAGAGTACGTTTTGCCTCTGTAATGAAATTTCCAGGGACCTTTTTATTAACTGTAAAGTCAATATCTTGGTAGTAATATGTGAAAAACTCAACTTCCAAAAGGTGTACGAGTTAGGAAAAAACCTTGAAAATAGGATATTCGGAATTTTAGAGCTTAATATATCAATGGAACGGTTACCTATAAGAGATTTCTGGGCAATAACTACTGCTTCGAACAGTAATTTTACGGAAAAAAAGTCGTTGGTTGTCCTTGATATATCTTATATAGTCTTTACCCTGCCAATGCCGCCATTCGGCCCTGTTCCGTCTAGAGACAGTTCATTGACGTAATCTTGAAGTTCCGTATCTTCCTTTACGTCTTTGTCGTCCTCATAATACCTAAGTAAATATAAAATTACATATTATCAATTTGCGTAAGACCAAGGTTGTTGGTTTTGTTCACGTTATTGGGTTTAAGGCTGAGTGTTTAGTTAAATGGGTTTCACGTTCTGCTCCTTGACAATTAAATGGCCTTTTATGATTCGCTTGAGCGTATGTAGTGATGTTACTTGAAAGATGGCCAAATAGAGGCTGGTACATGATCTTTGTCAAGCTATTTGCTATCTTTTTAAAGAGCTGAAACGTATCTTTGCGTTAAATGAATTCCAAAAATAATGCCCTAATTTCATCGTTATTGAAGATTCATAGGCATTGAAACTGTCTTCTGCCTTCTGTTACTAAGGATAGGAAGGATGGATATGGATCAAACTTAAAAAAAGTTGGGCCAACGTTTGTTTTCAAGTCCGTTTTAACGCCATTGCCAGCAAATGTCACCAAGAAAACTACTATGATTATTTGTCTCTGATAAAATTTGTTTGATAACTTCTCATAACCCTGAAGGCCATGTTATGGATGGGTAGAGGCACTAACTAATGACTTTAACACAGGATTAAAAAACAGTGACATTGCTTCATTAAAATACTGCGTTGAATGAATTACATCTAGCCCTGACGACAAACCAAGTACAACTGCTAAACAGTAGCCTGCTATCTTCAGTGATTGAAATAAAGAGAATGAAACAAAGACGCATATTAAATATTTGCTTTTGTACTGGAAGGAAAATGGTAAACGGCTCGATTGGGTGCTCCTAATATGAGACAAAGATTGTCCTTTCATTTTATTCTATCTATTACATTAGTGTGCTGGCTTACATTGTAACGTAATCCTTCACCATCTGTTCAATGACTTCCAAAATCTTATAGCCGTCATCTCGAAAAGGAAAGAAGGGAAGAAGTCTTTCATCATCGAGTCCTCGTTTCTAGTGAATTAAGATAGGTAGATAAGGTTCTCCGTTTGCTTAATGAGTAAAGATTTCTTTGCAATGCAGTTTGCGTTGTTAATTAAGCTTTTATACAGGAGGAACGTCTGCGTCTCAGGGACAGAAATGACGTAAATTAATGTAATAAATCCTGTAGTAGCCTGTGTACAAACGCCCCCCTCCCCTTAGAAAAAATCGGGGAGAGAGAGAGAGATCTCCCCAATTTTTCCCTAAGGGGAGGGGAGGCTGTTCACAGGCTAATCCGGTTGTCATGAGGTTCCAAATGCAAATTTGTTCGATTTTATGTTTCTCCTGGTCAATTTTGGTAAGTTTGCGTTCATCTGTGAACGAACTGCAGCAAAACTCAAACGCTTCTTCTAGAGAAGAATATGTTCCACGAATATTGACTGTTTTGTAAAAGATTCATTTGACCTTTGTGGTCTTTTGTCTGTCATTGGTAAACACTAGCTAAAACAGTATAACGACAACGTGCACCAATCAGAGCTCCTACCCAGATTCCAGGCAGATTTTACGTCATTAGCAGGAATTTCTGTCACTGGGGTGCGGACGCCTCGCCTGATGAAACGTCCCAAGCCGCAAGGAACGAGGAGAAACGATTGTTTTACGCAGGCTAATGAGATTGTCGCGTACGAATTAATAAAATATTATGGGCACTTTCAACAAGCTTTCAGTGAAATTGCAATACGCAGGTCACAGTTCTTACTCTGAATCGTCTACTGTTTATAGGTGTGTTTTTAAAGCAACTTTTCCCTGTTGTTGCGTTCTGAAATCTAATAGAGAACCTGCTTTCCACAGCTGCATTTCTTTCAGGTTCACGTATAGACAGTGTGTCAACTTAATATTTGTGTTGATCTTTAAACAGAATAAACTGGTTAGGGTTACATTATGACGAGTCAAAGGGAATTCTTGATGATAATTTTGTACCAAATATGTAGTAAATTGCAACAAAAGCTTCATTCACAGGCGAGTTCTACTGACGTACCTTAATATTGCCTCGGTAGTCGGTTATTTCCCAAGTGGATAAAGGATATGTGTCTTTAAGCATTCTGAATGACCCCTTGTTTCCATACGCAAACAGTCGATCTGTGAGTCCGTTTTCGTTTACAAGGTTGGGAACTCCAAAAGTATTTGGAACAGTCAGCTCTCTGCAGTGAAACCTGAGGATTTGGTTCAGTGGATGCTGTTTTGACAGAGTCCTTTTAAGAATTACGCAGAATGGCTCGACCATAAAGTGGACCTAAAAAAAGAAGTTAAATCTTAAAATACGCCCTTTTAACACTCTAAAACACCATTGGACATTAAAAAGCTTTGTACTCCGAAATGCTTGTTTTCTTCGACCTGCAAGAGTGCGCATAAGGCAAAATTGAAATTGGTGTCCACGCATGGCTAACTTACTGACTTGCTATCACTTAGCTTGGCAAATACAATTAATATTTTGCTGAGACAAGTATGACCGAACCTTGCTGAAAATTGATCATATCCTTCCGAGGTGCTCCACAATCTGCGCATATCCTATGTCAGTTACTTGAACGTTGAGCTTGGCCATCATCCAATTGTCTCCGTCATTTGGAGTGTAAACTGCTGAATCTAAGCAAAGTTTACAAACACCAGTTTACCAGTTGACATCTCTTGACATGTGCAATGTCACTGATATCACTGATATCATGAGAGCCAGCGTAGCTGGGTGAGATTGTTAACCCGGGGTGGGGGGGAGATTACATCCTATAATGGGCTATACGAGGAGGCTACGCCCGAGAGGGATACCTTTTTTAGGCATTGGGTATATGAAATAGTAAGAATTTTACTAGTAGAAGCATAATTGAAAAGGGTAGGGAATTATGTCATTTTGGTCTGTATGGCTGCGAAAAAATCGAGAAAACGTTCTGGTTTGAGGTCATTCATATCTTAAGAAGAGCGTATTTGCAAAAGGTTGAAAGGGACGTAAAGTTCTATACAGGTTATGTGGAAGGGTACCACTTTTCAATAGAAGATATACGAAACGGGTACTTTCCGACGAAAACAGGAGGTTGGAATAGAAACTTGGGGCCGAGCCTCCTTGTCGAAAAACGGTTTGAGGAACGAGGGCGGATACCCCTGAGAACGAAAAATAAGCGCTCTTTTTCCTCTCTCTGCCCTAATCTCTCCTCATATTTTGCCATTTATTTGCTTTTTTTTTTTCACTCGATGTGCGTGACTCTGAGAAACCACTCGCGGTCTAATACATGAAGTATTTAATGTAAAAGGATTTAATTTTTTTCTGTGTAGATTCTTGTCAGTAGAAAAAAGGTTCATACATACCAGGAGTAAAATCCATTTGAATAGCCACTGGAACAAGCTCGTTCTTTCCCTGGCTAACGGGCTTAGATGCAAACAGAGCTATAGGAGAAAAAAAGTTCCACATTTCGCGTCGAGGATCTTTGTCTGTAAGATCCGGTGATCTCGCCAACCCGTCGCACAGTTCGTAACGAAGAGCATAGATTCGTCCCTGATCTACGGCCTGAAAAACAAAATAAATAAATAAAATAAATAAATAAATAAATAATAATAAAAATATCAAATAGTTTTCCCTTTTCAGAGTGGTTAATCCTATTGTAAGCAAGATATGGAGTAAATAAAAAGCTCCGTTGCACACCGTTACCACCAGAAGTCAAACTCGCTTTAGCCTTCTTTCCAATAAATCCCCCGTTTTTATCTCATTCGCAGCCAAACGCCAATTGGCATTCACCATCCTTCCCCGCTCCTTACAAATTGCCACCAATTGATTGTTTTACATCACAATCATTAAATGTAACCAAACATGATGCTCTCAGCCAGCCGTATTTTATAGTTTTCGGGAACTCAATTATAATGGTACTTAATCTTTTGCCTTCTGTTCACAAATTGTGACGGAATATAACAATGTGACGTTTTTTATTGGTCAGTAAGGTCAAGGTAATAGGAATGCTATTGAACTTTGCGCACCTCCAAGTTAGGCTGGATTTTCGCCTCTTGGGACATTTTGGGCAGTCTTACACCAAGCACTACCCGCTCTCTCGGTCCTTCCCAAGAAGAGACTGTTCGTGGAAGGAGCGCATTCACATTTCCCGAAAAGCGGCTGGTAATCGAGCCTACCACCATTTCCACTAAAACATTAACAAAGTCTGACGGACCTCATAACCATTCCAATCTATTAACTGTCGCTTGGTGGACTAACTATATATTAACAGACTGTTGAAGAGACCTCATACCTTTTTCAAAGTGTAATGTCTCGAAAGAACAGCTTGTACAGCGGCATCCCAGTCAAAGTTAGGGTTAAGCGTTTCCTTCAGTTTGCTCCAATCCAAACCTACTAGCGCAGGCCTTGCAGGCTTTTCAGGAACTTGGAATGATATGAAAAAATAAGGAATGATATATAGTAATTACATTCCCAACTACAATGACTAGTTCAGTTCAGTTTAGTTCCGTAGAGTTTTTTAAACACTTCTTAAGTGCCGTAGACATTACCGGGACTTGATCATGAGTCCTCTATATAGTCTATAAATTTCAGTGCTCAAGTGTACTTAATAGATATAAAAGGGCAAAAGCTGCAATTGTCCTAAGCAGGCTGGAGCATTTGAAAAAAAAAAACCTTACTTCGACGACTGTTCATTTAGACTGAGTGTCATCAGCGACTGAGTGCTGACTGTTAATAAGCAATAGTACTTAATAGTAATATTTGACGACTGAAGTTCACCTTTGCAGTTTCCCCATCTTGGAAATCCTGCGTAGGTTCTACACCATGGCCTGTGGTGATGTTTTACGGTACACGTCCTGTATGTTTTAAACCAGTATTTGAAAGGAAAACGGCAGCATCTGCCATCAGTTGTTATCACCTTGCAGCGCCAACCTAGTCTCCCATGCAGAAATCCAAGGTCACCTTTTAGAATACAGGTAGGCATTATTAGCCATATGACTAAAAAAAATCCCAGGCGTATTCCCTATGATTGCCTATACGGGGAGGCTCCGCGAGAAAGGGCTACTTTTTGCAGGCTTCAGCTACGATTTATAGATTTGGCCACGGCTAAAAGCAAAGCCTCTGTTTATACAAGAGAGATCATTCTCTCTTGGTTTATATTGTTACAATGACAGCAATTAACTTCAATAATTGCTGCCGCGCGAGCGAGCCTGTAGCGAGCGAGCAGCAGATCTATCTGTACAAGGACAAAAAGTTTCGATTTCTAACCACGATGCATCTAGATTTTTAACCACAATGCACCGGATTTTTACCACAATGCCGTGCATGCCCATTTCATTTATACACCGACCTCCGCTTACGTTTTGTTGCATGAAGTTCGTTGAGGTTTGTTGAAATCATCACTCTTAATGTGTCTGTGGTGAATTTCTCTTTCATGGCATATATAGTAGCAAAGTTATAGTAGCCAAGATTTCTTCACACGGCTAGTGATTACCTTCATGTTTACGTCTGCTAAATTCTTTTAACATCCTGTTTTTTATAAATTTCTTTTGATCATATCTTCTACAACCGTGGTTTTATCAAACTATAATTTCACAATAATTCTAGAAGATAATGTTGGAATAAACCAGAGTGAAACGTCTAAACGACTTGGCTGACTTGGTTTTGTCAATTGGCATATTTCAAAGACTGTGCATGTCACCTTCTTGAGAGAAACAAGGTTTTTAATTATTTTAATTCGGTAGAGAATTTAGCATTCTTTGATCCGTTCGTAGTTGTTGAAGTGGAATGGTTGGGAAACTCTTTAGGCTCCTTTGTTATAGGTTTTTGTTAACTTTTTCGGACCTAATCGTGCACAACGTTCAATAGCATTCCTTCATAGAAACATCACATTAATTTATTCAGTCACAATTGGTGAACAAAAAACAAAGGATTGTGCACGGTCAGGGAGCTTCCAACATAATCTACAGCACCATTGTTTTCAACTTTGATGTTTGCCGGGTTTCCTAAGCAGTTTCCTCTACTAACTATGATCCATTCATATTCAAAAGTTTGAGACAGAGCATTGGTTGAAAAGGATAAGATTTGCTGGTAAGCATCGCCTCAAGTGAAACACTCTTATGAACTAAGCACTTGGGAAAGGGGTACTCCCTATAATGGCCTATACGGGGAAACTCCGCCCGAAAGGGGTACCACCTGCTGCTTCAGGTGTATGAAAGGCTAGGGATCTCACTTTTTCAAGTATATGAAAGGGTAGCGAAATCTGTCATTTCGGTCTGTAAATGGGCTAACAGATGCATTTTACGGCCTTGAAAAATTCGAGAAAACGTCCTGGCTTTGGAATTTTCTCATAGTCTTATATAAAAGGTTAAGGGGTTGAACCTCGGGACAGTGCTTCCCCGTAGAAAACCTTGTTGATTACCACCGCAGCCACCCAACCCCCCAGTACTACGCATTTTGCGGCAGCCTTACCTCGTTCATGAACTGTCACGCGTTGGAGTGACATTGGGTTAGTCCCAGCTAGGCGTTGCTGGGTGAAGTATTTGTCGCTTATCCATTTCGTCTTGTCGTTAATAAAAGCTTCGTGCCTTGAAGCTAGCGTGGCGTATTCCTGTAACGACATATAGGTAATTTAAGGTTGATTGACCTTTTTTTTTTCTTCTCCCATGATCAGCTTGTATTTCCACTATATGAAATATTAAGTCACCTCACCTACCCCTTCCCTAAGCCAACGTGAGAAGTAAGCATAATGTTGGCTTAGGGGAGGGGTAAGTGGGCCCCGGTCTTACATCCTGGATTTCACGTTGTCAAATCCGGATTCCAGGAACTGGATTCCACATTCCTTGTCGGCGAAACATAATTTGCTGCAAGTGTGTCCTAATTAAACACAGTATTGCCGGCACGATTGCATGAGTTGAAATTTGTCTTCAAAAGGACTATAACGTGAATTTCGTAATTGCAATTGCCAATAAATGACTAAAATAAGATGGCAATACAGTTGAGGGTGTTGTCCTAAACAGGGTAGATTTGAGGATTTTTTTGTCCTAAACCGGGTCAGGGTTTTAAACTCTCAGCTGCCTACCTCTAGCCAAATATTGAACAACACAATGGATTTCGCAAGAAAACAATAACACAGTAATTACCCCACAAGAGGCTCCAGTACCGTCTGGAAATACTCAGACATCGCAAGATATTCTGAGAAGTCATCGATTGGCTGCCCTAAAGTCTGTTTGATGTACTGTGCCAAAACTTTCTCATTTGTCCTCAGGGTCTGATTGTATGCTGTAGTGTAGTATCTCGTAAAGGGGTCCTTCAAAACAATAGGAGCTAGCTCCTCTGGGGTCATGTTCAAACGGGCGAAGCCATACACATCTGGATCATGTTTTAAAGTCCACGTCTTCTTGTTTTCAGCAAGGGCAGCTTTTCTTACGATCTTGCAATCCGGAGTAGACTTTTGAGGAAGAGTGACATCACAACGAATAGCGGATGTATACCTCATGAAAAAAATAAACAAAAAAAGAAGAAGAAGAAGAAGAAGAAGAGGAAGAAGAAGAAGAAGAAGAAGAAGAAGAAGAAGAAGAAGAAGAAGGAGAAAAGTTAGCTAAACGGTTCATAAGTCAGTAACCAAATAAAACATTATTAGAGATCGAAGCCAAACAACTCTGCGGCAACGGAACAGCAACGTGAAGAAGATGCATTTATTACCAAAAAATTGTGAATATTATTGTGTAACAGTTATTATCATTACACAATGATGAATTTCCCACTCTCTTTTTGAACCTGGACGTGATACTCAACAAATAAACCCCAAGAAAGTCTTCTAAAATTCAATGAAAATGCGCTGCAAAGACGCTTCAAGAAGCGTAAACTTGCTAATGGTTAGTGAAATTATTGTTTCCATCACCCTTTGTTGACCTTTTTTGTTTTTTGTTTGTTTTTTTTTAAACTCCGTTTTCATTTCATTATTTTTTTAGAATCGCGCTTTTATATGGCGCCACCACCATAATCAACGCCCAGTAGAAAAAGCAAATTAAAGTAACATAACGAGGCGTATACGCGTGGTAATCAGATTTCCCGCCACTTTTAGGTAAAGCCACAATCGGATTAAAATTGAATAAAATCGGATTGAAGGCCGAAGGCTCTTGCTGATTGCTACAGCCCTGTCGCCCTTGCACTTTGGGCTCGTGACGAAGACAGTCAATCTGACTTGCTCTTGGCTTTAACCGCATTAAGACAAAATATTATTTAGAAACGCATTATAAAATTATCGATCTTAATTAGAGTTTGAAGTTGGTGATATTAAAGTCATAATACAAGAAACTCGGTTCAGCTAGGCGTGGATCAGCTGGATATCAATGAGTTTTCGTGGAGAAAAAATGGAAATGTAGAACGTTATGAGATTACCTGTGTTATTGACAGGTCAGTTATAATAAATATATTTTGTATTAAGACCACCCCCGACTGTTAACGAAAACTCATCTACCAATTAACCTCAGTTACAGTTTTCAGTGTTCTTAAGAAATACTTGCAAATAATTCGAGGTCACTTTTGAGTAAGCATTTGTGCAATACAAGATCACTGGAGTCAAGGGCCATGTATCATGATTAAGAGGCAGTCTCCCTAAAAGCGTTCCACTCGATTTTGGACTCGAAAAACCTTTTGCCTTATAATTTTACCATCAACACTACTATCCATCCTAATAACGAAATCGCAGTTTGAATGAGGAAATTGTTTATTTTATTACTGCCATTCCCAGCATTTCATCGCTGGACGGCTGTTAAAGACTAAAATATGCAAATTTTAGTCTCTGTTATACAGGTTTTTTTAACGATCGTTCTAAAGTTCTTCGGGTCATCAAACCCTAGACTATTTGCACTGATTTGGAAGCATGATGTATTCTTTGAGAAGATTAAATAATAAGAAGGTTATAACCACAGCTTGCAACTTTTGAAGACAAATTTCCTGTTCTTTCCAGGTTTGTGGCCGCACAAACCACTTCTGCACCAAGTCGACTAGAAAAACGGTCGTGACTAGAATGGATACTCCAAAATCAGGTATCCGCTCGGAGACTGGAACTGAATAAAATTATTTTTCGGCAAATTGCTCCGACTACCCGACTATTGAGATAAGTATACAAAGACTGAAGAAGGCTAAGATGAGAATGGTTACTCCAAAATATGGATCAAAGCCTACATAGAGGTTAGTTGTTTTTCACGTTTTTTGTAAGAATTTAGTGCAAGGAGCAAACAATGTCTGTTTAATTACAGTACCACTACCGCGACTGCCGTGTAAAGCTTATTCATAGCAAAGTATCTGTTTGGATAGCTCAGAATAAGGTCGATACTTCAGAATAAGAATGGCCAAAATATGGAAGTTTTGGCCATCTGGATTATTATTACTGAACTTCCCAATATAAAAATGATTGTTACGTTTACAAAGAGGGTACAAATACAGTCAACCATTGTGTAATTATGGCTCAGTTAATTCGAAGCTCGCTTATAAGATAGCAGCCCGATGTAGGGGGGGGGGGGGGGTACTCGACCAATATTTGGGTGTAGGTGAGCCGCTGAGGGTTTGAAACCCATACCCTGTTTAGGATAACACCCTCAACTTTAGTACCCAGATAGGACAACTCCCTCAGATGGGGACAAGGTTATCAAGCACACCTGTCAACTTGTACTTACTTTATTTAGACCAGGGTGCCAAGAACAATAACATCTATATTTATTCCAGTAAATGCTTCGGGTGATGACGTACTAAATATCTACAAACATTTGCACTAAGACGAAATCAATCATGCACGAAACACCCTGTTTATAATTAGAACAGACTCGCACAAATCATGCACACTGTTTAGGACAGACTTGCAGGAAATTGTATACCCTGTTTAGGACAGACTTGTGCCAAACTATAGACCCTGTTCAGGACAGAGAGGACGAAAACCATACCCTGTCCAGCGGCACATCCCCATGGAGGCCATATAAGGGAGTACCCCCCCAAGGAATAGCAGACAGTTGTTGATTTTATGCCTCAACATATTATGGTTGATTTTTTTTCACTTTTAAGTGGTAAGTTGCTGTTTAGTTTAGTGTGAGAAGAATGGGTACTTTATGAGATTATAAAAACCAAAGTGACCCTCACAACCTGTGGGATACTCGGGTCAACCTTTTGGTGCGCTGGGTATCTGGCACAATTAGCCAACCAGAACCCAAATCCTTTTACAGTCTTTTCTATGACCAAAAGGCCCAATGTTAGCTACTTTTGGCAAATGTAAACTATATGATTCCAAGTTAGTCATTTTGTATTCCTGAATCTGCTGTGTGAACCTTTGTAATTTCCAGTCACATTGAAGGTGTTGAAAATGCAGCCCCTTTATTGTCCATCCTGTCATGAAATGTTGCCCCATCCACAGGTAGCCCAAACTCTGAAGGAGTTTGTTGGACTTTGAATTTATAAGAGAATGTATGACAATAAACAAAATACGTCCTAAATTCCATGTTTTTGACAAAAATAGAAATGAGATTGACTTACCTTGTGTTTTTGTTTTGCTAAGCTAAAATGGCCTGGATATACCCTACTTCAATAATTATTATTTATTTATCAGTATTTTAGTTATTCATTTTCTTACTAGGCAGGTACCACAAGGAAATGATTTGGTTGTTCCTTTTTAATTTAGATGATAGATAACTTTGTAGGTGATAATTATTTGTAATGCACTGAACTGGGGGCCTTTCTCTGCTACCAAAAGAAAATCTTTAACTTTTAAAACAAAAGGGTCAAGGCTTCTTTGCTGAATCAAGGCACTGTATCGTGGAAACACAGTGCTTTTTAGAATTACCGCCAAAGTAGCAGCTTTATTTCCTGAAAGAATGATTATAATGGAAGCTTTATTTAATGCATGGCTAATTTCAAATTTTCAGGTGACTTTCCACCCCAGGTATAGAGGGTACATAAAAGCACTTTGTGGAAGTGGAGAAAGAGTAAGAGGAAAGTAAAACAGAGGAAAGAATTATGGGAAAAGGAAGAAATGAAAAAACGGTTGTAGAATTGTAAACAAATAACTTCATTTTTATAAAAGTAATAAACAATTTTTTTTACACATTTTATCAAATTCTTAGAGTGGTTTGTTTGTGGTTTTGAGAATTTTATTAACCAAATGGTCAAGCTACCCAGACATGCAACTGAGCAGCCAACTGCTTGGCCTCAATGAAAACTGTTTTTTTTCCTGTTTTCTTTTTTTCTTTTTTTTTTTTTCATTTTATTTGCTATTTCTCTTGAGGCCTTCTCCAATTTTCTTCATTTCTTCATTTCTTTCTCCAACTGGTTTCTCTGTTCCTCACAAGCATTTGACTGCAACACCCTCCGGACCTCCAACTCCTCCTCCTGTTACAGCTGCAACATGGATATACCTGCATGATCATTTTTATTCCATTTTAAATTTACGATAAGCTCACCATACTGAGTGAAAAACAAAAAATAGCCCATAACCAGCATAATGCTGAAGATCTTGTCTCATCAGGAGCTCAGAAGACAGTCAAGGAAATAGGTAATAGGTCATAGGGAGGGGAAGGAAAACACCTTCCCCCCCCTCCCCCCTTGAGTGGAGGAAGGGGGAAGAAAAAGAAAAAGAATTCATCCCAGGATCAACAGGATCTATTCCACACTTTCCAACACCATGATGGTACCACTTGGCTGAGGACTGTTGTCAGAAAGTTCAGTGTGGAATAGGTTATGGAAGGCAGAGAGTTTTGGTGACAATGAGGCTCCTATAGCATTTGAAAAAAAAAAACAAAACAAAATACAAGTGCAAAAAAGCAACTATAAATAATTTTGCAAAAATCCTAATATTTAGGATAAATAATTTGAATTGATACTAGAGTTTCTAGTAAATGTAAAAAGATAGAAGGTGAACATGGGTGGGCTGGTAGAGGCCAGCAGTAGAGCTAGGGAGGTCCCCGGCCCTCCATATTTCTAGTTCAAATTGAGGACAACAGTGCCAAGAAAATTCTTTTCTAGATTGAGCTCCTCATCCGTACCTTAAGGTCTGAATGAGTGGTTCCTTCCCGCCACCTTAAGGTCTGGTGAGAATCCTCCCCCCTGCTCCGCCCCTCTTCTCATCTGAAGGTTCTGATCTGCCACTGTAGGCTCCAGGTCCTATATCAGAGCTATACAGACACACTAAACTAATACAATCTGCAGGACCTTTTTTTTTTAGAAACTTGAGCTTGTAATAGTGATCACCAAGCTACAAGAAGTATGACCTGAAGTAAATTAGGGACCTGTCATTTATTAGAGCGTGGGGGCAGGGCTGGTGCAATTCTTTCTCCCAGGTGAATTTTTTTTATGCCCTCCCCCAATTTCCTGCAGAAAAAAATGTAACCCTCCCCCTTGTATGGCCCAATATAGTTATGACCCTCCCCACGCTAAAAGATATGACAGGGATTATTAAAAGAGATCAACTTTTACCTTGTGATGATCGAAGGGAGGCGCCAATACGAC